TACAGTGGAAGCTTTTAGCAGCTTCTAACAGAAGCCACCCTATAGCCCCCCCCCATCAGAACTCAGCCACATAAACCCATGACACAGTAAATAATTTTTGTAGCATTTGGAAATGAATTTTAACTGACTGCAGAAAATAATGACTCAGCTTTAAAATAAATGACAAATTTAAGCCTAGCAACCAGCAGCCTAAAAGAGAAAGGTGGGCATTCTGTCAAGTGCATAGGCCTTAATCATCCCAGGGCTGCCTGATTGATTTGTTCCTTATTTTGGCTCAAAACAACTGACTCTGTGAAGGTAATGGTTCAGTGACTCACATCTTTGCCTAATTAATGCTCCCATCCCTTTGAATGAACTTTCTCCAGCATTGCTCCACGTACTTTGAATCTTTTCCCTTTGCCTTTGCTCTGTGAGGATGTGCTGCTGTTGTGACACCACTCTCATGGCTGGTTTTAATTTCCTTACAGCTCTCCCTTCCCTCATGGCTCGTCGGTCCCAAAGCTCCTCGCAGGGGGACAATCCCCTTGACCCCAACTACCTTCCACCCCACTACAAGGAGTATTACCGCTTGGCGCTGGACGTGCTCACGGAGGAGGGCAAGGAGAGTTACCAGCGCTTCCTGGCAGAGGAGGCAGCCCCCGATTTCCTCTGTGGCTCTGAGGTGGATCACATCATCCAGAACCTCCAGAAGCCCCAGTATGCCAACCAGGAGAGCAGCACAGACACCACAGGGGACAATGACATGGATGGATCCTCTGGGACCTACTGGCCCATGAACTCAGACCTTGCCGTTCCTGAGCTTGACCTGGGCTGGCCGATGGTCTTTGGGTTCAGGGGAACGGAAGTGACAACCCTGGTGCAGCCACCTCCCCCAGATAACCCCAGCATTAAGGAGGAGGCTCGCAGGATGATTCGAGCAGCTCAGCAGGTGAGACAGGGAGAGCCCAGCTAGAGCAGAGGTAAAATCATGCGTGTGCCAGAGAAGCAACAGAACAGAGAATCAAAGAATGGTTTGGGTAGGAACGGACCTTAAAGCTCATCCCGTTTCACCCCCTGCCATGGGCAGGGACACCTTCCATGTTGTTCCAAGCCCCATCCAACCTGGCCTTGAACACCTCCGGTGATGGAGCAGCCATCTTGTCTGGGCAACCTGTGCCAGGAACTCACCATGCTCACAGGGAAGTGTTTCTTCCCAATATCCCACCTAATCCTGCCCTCTGACAGAGGAAATCCATTCCTCCTTGTCCTGTCACTCCAGGCCCATGTCCAAAGTTCCTCTCCAGCTCTCCTGGAGTCCCTTCAGGCACTAGAAGGGGCTCTAAGGTCTCCCTGGAGCCTTCTCCAGGCTGAACATCAGGTCCTCTGCCAATTTCTTTAACTTTGCTCCCAGGACCTGACAGAGGGGCAGGATGATTCCAACCCCACCACTGACTGCACCAAAGCCTGTCTCTGCTCTGCTCTGCTCTCGCCACACTAAAATACACCAAGAGTTCACAGAATCCCACAACAGCTGAGGTTGGATGAGGCCTCTGGAGCTGGTCGAGTCCAGCTGCCCTGCTCAGAGGAGGTCAATTACAGAGGGTTAATCAGGATGTGTCCTTGAGCATCGCCAAGGATGCTCCCTCCTTGAGCATGTTCAAGGGAACAGGACAGCCTGCTCCCATGTTCAACCCCCTCTTACAGTCCCAGAGACTTCCCTCATGTTTAATTGGAATTTCACGTTCTCTTTGCATCTCATCCTCTCCCTGGGCACGACTGAAAAGAGTTTGGCTCCTTTCTTCCTTATGCCCTTTCCATCAAGTATTTATACTCACAGATAGGAGTTGGTAAGGACAGGGAAGAAGACCTGTGAAGCTGCTTCCCATATTATCAGCACATGGATGTAGCTGGATAGTGGCTGCCTGAGTGTTAGCCAGGAAGTTACCTAAAAATGGCAAGAGGGTTTTGGAGGGGGGGAGCAGCTCCTTACACCACCCACTGTGGTTACAGGGCCAAAAAATTCATGGAATCATTGGATTGATCAGTCAGGGAACACTCAGGGGCAGTGAAGTTTTCCTTCACCCTCATACACAGAACATGTACCTTCCTGGACAGAAATTTTGTTTCCAGTTCTCAGGCCCACAGTAGTTAAAGGAACCTTTAATTGGGACGTTTGCTGTTCCAAAAGGAAGTTGGAATGAAAGTTCCAGTTTCAAAAGGGAGATGGAAACAGTGCAGGTTTGGGGTGTGAGGTGCTGGGGAACATGGTCAGTCAGGGCATGAGATGGCACAGGTGGCTGATGTGTCCCTGCATCCCTTCCCCAGGTGGTGGCCATCGTAATGGACGTTTTCACGGACGTGGATCTGCTGTTTGAAGTGCTGGATGCTGCTTCTCGACGAGTGCCTGTTTACATCTTGCTGGATGAAATGAACTCCCAGCTTTTCCTTGATACAGCTGCCAAGTGCAGAGTCAATCTAAACTATGTGGAGGTGAGTGAAGACCTGCCCTGCTTGAGTTGTGGCCTGAGGCATACATGTCCTGAGACACAGAAGGCTAGTGTGGCAGGAAACACCTGAGAAAGGGGAAGGCAGGCCAGAGCCTGGGAAAAGATGAGTGTGAAGAAAGAGGGGAGAGCTGTCATGACAAGGGTAAAGGCTGAGGACATACTGATAAAGGTTTGTCCATCTGTGTGTCTGCAGGCAGAATCACCAGAGCTGCAGGATAATCCCGGTGGCAGGATGGAATTTCAAGGAGAGGGGGAAGGAGGAGGGGCAGGGGAGGAATGAGGGTCCCAGCTGAGTCATTGCCTTTCTGGTTTGCAGTTCCTGAGGGTGAGGACAGTGTCTGGCCCAACCTACTACTGCCGCACAGGGATGTCCTTCAAAGGGCACCTGAAGGAGAAGTTCCTGCTGGTGGACTGCATGGTGGTACTCAGCGGCAACTACAGGTGAGGAGCCCTGCCATGGTACCTGTCCTTTGGTGAGACACTCAGGTGCTTTGGGCAAGGAGTTGGCTACAGAGGTGCCCAGCTCCCATCTGAGCCATGTAACTTCCAGGGAGAATTTGCTGTAGTGTATGGAGTGTAAGATTTGCATCTTAGTCTGACCAAATGAACTTTGACCTCCACTCCTAGAATCATCAAATCATAGAATGGTTTGTGTGAGAAGGGACCTTAAAGCTCATCTTGTCCCACCCCCTCCTGTGTACAGGGACACCTTCCGCTACACCAGGTTGCTCCAAGCCCCATCCTACCTGACCTGGAACACTTCCAGGGATAGGGCAGCCACAACTACTCTGGACAACAGAGAGGTGGATGGTTTTAGTTAGGATGGAGATCACCCATTAACATGTTACCATCCTTTTGGAACAACAATCTCTCCAGCTAAGGCATCCATTTTTGGCAGAAAAAATGTTTTTAGTGAGTTCCAATATGAGAATTTCTCCTTCAAGTATTAAGGGGTGATGGGATAAACACCTGTCATGCTCTAAGCATGTAATCACAGAATGACAGAATGGTTTGGGTTGAAGGGACCTTAAAGTTCATCTGGTTTCACTCCCTGCTCTTGGCAGGGAGACCTTCCACTAGACCAGGCTGCTCAAAGCCTGCCATGAGTTAACTTCTCATGGTGGAAGATAAGCAAATAGAATTAAAGGTATTTTAAAAAACAGTGTATGAAGATAAACATCCACAATATAGGCATCTGAATAAAGTGCACGTTCTTTGTAACAAGATTCCACTTTGGCTTTTTTCCTGATGTTTGGAAGGAATTATTGTCAAACTTCATGCTTTACCAAACAACTAACTGTTCCAATTAGATAATTTTTTGCTTATGAGAGCATCAAGTTAATTGTTCAACACTACTTCTGTCACACTCTCATGTGCTTTGGGTTTTCAAATATTGTATCTTTTTTGGAGTAGGAAGTTGTGGAAGTGTTCAAATAGAGGTTGGATGGGGCTTGGAGCAGCCTGGGCTAGTGTAAGGTGTCCCTGCCCATGGTAGGATAGTGGAACAAGGTGGTCTCAATGGTCCCTTCCAGCCCAAACCAGTCTGGGATTCTATGAGAGAAGCTGGTGAGTTGGTGAAGCAGCATTTTGGCAATTCCACATGGATATCAGGGACAAAAGTTTTCCTCACTGAAGGATACTGAGCAGCAATTTTTCAGGAAAAGTACACCATATTGCAATGGAGGTCAATACACCCATTAAAGAAGTCCTCGAGCCCAGACACCCCAAGCCAGTCTTCCTTCACATCAAGAATTTAAAAAAAAAATCTGTAAAAAAACAGACAGTAATTTTAAGGGTTTTGTTTAACCCCAGCAGACAGCTAAGCCCCACTCAGGTGTCCCTCACGCCTCCTAGGAGGATATGGTAGAGAATCTGAAACATGGAATGCTCCTGGGTGTGATACAGTTTAACACCTACAGCAAACTTGCACGCACAGGTAAAACAAAGTAAGAGATCTCTTTCCTGCTTCCAACCGGTTGGCGGATATCCAGCCATTCCCAGAAAAGAACTTGACTTGGGAAGACAAAGGCTGCAACACTGAACATCTTCCTCCCTCATTCTTAGCCCAGTTCCTTCTGTCCAGTCCCCCTTAGCCTGTGTGGGTGGAAGGGTTGTGCCACCTCAGGGGCAAGATCCTGCATTTGCCTCTGCTCAATTTCCTGAGGTTCCCATTGGCACATCTCCTCAGCCTTTGGGGTCCCCTGACTGGTGTCACCTGCCACGTGCAGAGGGCAGATGCTGACTGTTGTCCCAGTCGTTACTGACGGTGTTAAAGACAGAAACATCTACTTCACATAACAATAATCATCACCTCATTCTCTGGTTGTGGACACTACTGACTGGCTTTTTAGAGCAGAAATAATTTGTTGCCTTGTAAAATCCTCTGCAAAGATGTGATCCTAAATCAATACATGACCGTGAGGTTTGGGAACAATCATGTCTAACACGTGGCTGCAGAGGAATTTTCTGCCATTATTTTGCCATATTTCTGCCTGAGTAGAAAATTCAGGACAATTTCCTTCAGGCAAGCAAATGCTTTAATGAAAAGGGGTACAGCTGATTTACTCAATGCTAATACCCTCCATCACTTCTGTTCTCTCTGTAGTTTCATGTGGTCCTTTGAGAAGATCCACAGGAGCATCGCGCACATCTTCCAGGGCGAGCTGGTGGCCAGCTTTGATGAGGAATTCCGCATTTTGTTTGCACAGTCGGAACCTCTCGTTCCTCCAGCCAATGTGCTGGCAAAGGCAGAGAACGCCTTTGCCATGGCTCCCTTTGGCAATAACATGCCTTTCTTTCCCAAAAAAGGCCCGCTGATGTTCCAGAGGGATGACAGTCTCTTCCCTTCCTTCATGGACAGAGTGGATCCGGACAGGTACTTCCTCTCCAATTTTCGGCGGGATGACATGCTGCGGCACACCGTGGAGGGGTCAGCCATGCGGATGTATAAAAAGGTGGAAATGGAGAATTCCCAGATGGATCCGGTCAGGGGCTTCCTCCGTTCCAAGCAGCTAGAACTGGATGCCTTTAAGAGACACAGTTTTGCAGAGGGAACATTTGAAAATTTTGCTTCTTCCAAGCAGTACGCCCGGCAGATGTTCATGAACAACATGGATGAGTTCAAAATCCAATCCAGTCATTTCCAGAAGGACCAGTTCTACCAGTACCAGTTTGAACATCCCCATCTCTCTGGCAGACCTCAGGGATTCTTTGAGAGGATTCGAGGGGGAAGGCCAGGATTCAATGAACTGGAAGACTATGGAGAGGGACCCCGATACCCTGAACTGGAACCCAGTTTCTCACAGGAGGGTTTCCCCTTACGGCTGGATTATGTACCCTCAAATTCTTCCAGGGAGGTGAGACATGGCTCCGACCAGCTGAACCCTGCAGGCAATGGCCCGATGGGAATGATGTTACGGAGGCAGAATATAGGACAGAAGTTCATTTGCCAGACTTCTCCCACACAGAAGCAGAGCCTGGAGCAGCGCCTGTTCCTACAGGACAAGGATGAGGACCAGGACGATGACAAGAACACACAGGAAAACAGAACAGGGTTACGGAACTGGAGAATATCTTCATACCTCAGCGCGTACCAGTCTGAACCAGATGAAGGGCTCCCGATGCCGATGGAGTCCGAGGCATATAATGATGCTCTTGGGGATCCCCTCACAAAGCACCCCACTGACCTCGTGCCAGCCTTCAAATCCCCCACATCTTTCAATAGCAAGGCATTGGGAATTGACAGTGCCAAGGAAGTTGTGGATCCTGATAGAGCAGGTGAAGAAACCTCGATAATGAAACCAGATGCCTTCAGGTCCAGGATAAATCCCTTGATCCAAAGGAGTTCCAGGCTCAGGTCCTCTCTGATTTTCAGTGCTGCCAAATTAGATCAGCCCAACACCACAATAGAAAAGGTGCAGATGATCCAAAAAGAGCAGATGTCCAGCGAGTTGACAAAGGACAATGAAACCATCAAGATGGCTGCCTCCTCCAAAGTGGCCGAGCTGCTGGAGAAGTACAAAGCCGTGGGCAAGGACACGGAGCGGGGCACAGTCACCCACACCAAAGCTGTTTCAGGTTACCTACAGGAGGAATCACAGAACACGGAGAAGAAATGTACCAAATCCGTGCAATATAAGATTCTGGAGAGCAGGGTGCTGGACTCCAAAGACTCCTGCAGTACTTACAAAATGCACGGAGAGTTGGACAGAGCATTTGGAATGGCCTCATCCACCCCCCAGCTCGGGGATGCCTTGAGTAAGGATCCCCTGGCACATCTTGGTACTAAGGTGGACAAGCTGTCATCCCGGTTTTACCCGATTGAGAACAAACCTGCTCTTCCAGAGAAGGAGAGTCTGATATATGTAGGAGACACTCAGAAACTGGCTCTTCCAGAGAAGAAGGACAGGGTGACCTTCAGAGAAGACACTCCAAAGTTAGTCAACACAGAAATGAAGAAACCACAAGTTAGGACAAGTACCACATCCTCAGCTCTGGAAAGCCTGTCTAGGAGTCAAGGATCTGACAGTTCTCTCAATAAATCTGAGGAAGACTGTTCAAAACAAGAGCAAAATCCCATGGAATTTTTAAGAAAAGGGTCACTACGACTGAAGCAGTTTTTAAACCCAAAAGGTGAAAAGAAATTTGAGGAGGAACCTGCTTCTGAAAGTGGGAAATGTGACAAGCAGGCAGTGGTGCTCAAACGATCGTCCATAGGGGACTGCCAGGAAGCGATGGAGGAAGAAAAATCTCACAAATTCGCAGCACCACTCCCCCCCAAGAGCAGCCAGACAACGCAGGGGAGGTTCCCTTCCTCCACAGCCAACATCCTGTACAGCAGCAACCTGCGTGATGACACCAAGGTGATCCTGGAGCAGATCTCTGCCAACAGCCAGAAGAATAGAGCCGAGCTGGCCAAGCAGCTGCCATCCACCAGCAACCCTGACCTTTCCAGGTCAACCACAAGCTTGGAAAGGAGAGGGGAGAAGGAGAAAAGCTGCAACATCCACAGGTCGGAGAGCTTTGGGAGCCAGAAACGGAACCTTCAGCGACAGCCGTCGGAGGACAGAGACACCCTCCTGAAAAAAATGGAGAACATGCGGAAGGAGAAGCGAGTCTACAGCAGGTTTGAGGTGTTCTGCAAGAAGGACGAACACATGAGTCCGAGTGAAGAGGAATATGACACAGATGCCAAAGACAAGAAGATGGGAAAATTCATGCCCAAAATCTTGGGGACCTTCAAGACCAAAAAATGATCATAACAATCCTATTTAATTCCATTTAATCACTGACTGTCACAGGGGAAGGAGGAAGAAACTTGTTTATGATGGCTACAAACTTCACAGGCAATGCTCTTCTTGGTAAGTGAGCAGAAACATGTCCAGCATGAGCCTCCCATGGCACAGTTTTCTCCATAAAGTCAGGTGGTATCAAACAACCTTATTACACTATGTTCCAAATAAAATTATTGAATTGCCAACATGCCTAAAACACAAAAGTCTCTTTTTTAAAAAGAATTCTCTGTTCTGTTACTGTGCAAAACTGAAAGTCTCTGTTACACCCAAGGAATATTTTCAGCTGACAAAACAATTCCACTTTCAGAAGAAAAGAATTAAAAATAGAAAATTCTATACTTGAGTTCAGGCTAGGAAAGATAAATACACACAGACACACACGTGGAAAAAGTGTTTAAAAAGTGTTGTTTCTCAGGTACAGTTATCCTTTCTCTGTATCTCACAGTGAATCAGTCACAGGAGGCATCTTTTTGAAGATTTACAGACAAAAAAATATTGTAACCAACTTTTTGCCCTAATTTGTGGCTCTGGCCTCGTCCAGCAGCACAGGCCCAGCTTTTGTATTTACCAGTTCCTGAGCCTGTGGGGTCTGGTTTGCTTGGGATTTGTTCTCCCATGTGTAGGGAATTTTTTGCTTTAAGGACTCAGCTAAAGGAGCAGCTAAAAAGGCCATGAAAAAGGCATTGAAGTGCTATTGATGGTGATGGGCCTGGTTTTAGGAGGCCTTTTCAGCTTGAGGAAACTGCCTCAAGTTGTGCCAGGAGAGGTTTAGGTTGGATATTTGGAAAATTCCTTCCAGAACCCTGGAAAGGATTGTCCAGTCCTGACACAGGCTGCCCACAGCACTAGTGGAGTCTTTGAAACTTTAGCTTTTCCTGGGATGCCAGCTCCCAGGGCAGCATATCTGGATGGAACTTACATATCTGTAACAGTTAATGATTATTTTACTGTTTGCTGAAAACCTTGGGAACTGGATGTGCAGAACGACTGTCTAATCTGGAAAAAAAAATTAGAGCCGATTTCCATTTTAATACAAATGGTGGTAAAAATCTGCAGGAATCAAGAACAGCTTTGTTGTAACATGAGGAGGTACATTAAGCAATAAAATTAAGAGAAGACAAAAGAGGAAAAAAAGGATGGAAGAAGTGGCCAAAATTGGGAAAAAAAGTTGAAATGGATTTCTTATACCCATTTCATAGTATTACAGAATGACAGGATGGTTTGTGTGGGAAGGGACATTAAACCCACCTGGCCCCACCCCCTGCCATGGACAGGGACATCTTCCACTAGCCCAGGTTGCTCCAAGCCCCATCCAACCTGGTCTTGGACACTTCCAGGGATGGGTTAGCCAAAGCTTCTCTGGGAAACCTGTGCCAGGAACTCACCGCCCTCTCAGGGAAGAATTTCTTCACAATATCGTTTCTAAATATCTCCTCTTTTAGTTTAAAACTGAACATTGTGACCCATCTCAGATACAGCCCATGATCTTTTATACATGTCCACAGCCATAAATGAGTTATTTTGTCTGCTCTGATTAATCATTCAGATTGAGTTATGATGGGTCCCAAAAGGAACTGCAATGGTCAACAGTTGTTCTCTGTCAGCCAATACAGAGATTATTTTACTCTAGTGCAGTATGTACATATATATTCTAACTCTGTTTGTGCAATTCATACATCATTCCACACCTTCCTGGCCCTTCTCAAACCCACCTGCTCCAGCCTCATTCTGTAACAGACAAATTTGGAATTTGTGACAGTGAGAGGTTACATTAGCAATTTAGAATTTTGCTGTACTTATTTAGATGTTTAGGATTTTCTCTTGCTCAGGTGGAACACATGCTTCTGCCCAGAGCCTGAGTGACACAGCTCTGCTGGTGACAGGTAGGTGACCACTTGCTGCAGGTGGCACAACCAACTATTGCAGAAGAACCAATTCCCTCGGCAGCAACTAAAGCTATTGTAAGAAGACCTTCCAGCCCACCACCTCTAAGTCTGGGATGGGGGTCACAGAGGACCTTGGCTGTCATGCTGTGAGGGGCCAGGATCCAGGGGAGGTCACAGCCGGAATTGGATGCCCTTCTCCGTGCCTGACAACTGGCATTTGGACACTCAGGAGCCAACCCACTGACCAGAGCTCTGCCCACACCACAGGCTCACCTGGCACTGCCACTCCTACATCTTCCTGTACCTCAGATAGGCAGGAAACACTTGTGCTATGAATATATCACAATAAACCTGGACTTCCCTGTGAGCTGCACTCCTGGTTCCCTCCTGTTACCAGACTCCAATGACCACACCTGTGACCAAGGGGAAGGCATTAATTTTTAATTAAGTAGCCTTGGGTGTTCAGGCACTAGAAGGTAAAATGGCAATTCAGCCAATGGCAGTGGTACTCACATGCTGCAATTCAGCACCTGAATCCCCTTGGTAAATGCATTCCCAATGTTCTGGAATAACAGTCATTTATCACAGGTGGAGTATAACTTCGGGGACATAGACAAGAACTTCAAGTTAATGAGGAGAACGTATCCAAAATCCACATTAAAATAAGAATATAAAGTTTCCTGTAGTCCCACTGTAGGCTGGTAACACCTTCGTGATGTCTCAGCAATAGTATCTCATGGAACTCTGCTTTCTGAAAGCAAAAAAAAAACACCAAAAAAACCCATCAGTTATTCATTAAAGACAGCCTTACCAACAGGTACTTTCCCTCTCAACACAGTGAATGCTGACTGAAAGACAAAGATTTTTTGCAGTGCAATATAAACTATTTATTATTGCAATATTTACAATATTACATGGTAGGGAAGCTGATAGATACTGTAGCAGAGCCCACCTGTATTTCAAATGCTTTCCTACTTGATTTTATCGAAAATAAGCCACAATGGTTTTATTTATTTATCCCAGAAGAGATACAGAAAGGAGTGGAAATCAGAATGAAGGTCTGTAAGATCTGTAAAGAGTCTGATCTCCACGGTCTTCAGAACACGGTTAACTGCTCTGCTCAAAAGCAATCCACATTTAGGTAGACTGCTGAAGAATCCTGGAATGGCTTGGAAGGGACATTTTAAAGTGCATTCAGTCCCACTCCCCTGCCATGGGCAGGGACACCTTCCACTAGACCAGGTTGCTCCAAGCTCCATCCAACCTGGCCTGAAAGACTTCCAGGGATGGAGCAGCCACAGCTTCCCTGGGCAACCTGTGCCAGGACCTCACCACACTCACAGGGAAGAATTCCTTCCCAATATCCCATCTAACCCTGCCCTCTAGCAGTGGGAAGCCATTGCCCTTTTTCCCGTCAATCCAGGCCCTTGTCCCCAGTCCCTCTCCAGCTCTCCTGGAGTCCCTTTAGGCCCTGGAAGGGGCTCTCAGGTCTCCCTGGAGCCTTCTCTTCTCCAGGCTGAACACCCCCAGCTCTCCCAGCTTGGCTCCAGAGTAGAGGGGCTCCAGCCCTCAGAGCATTTTCCTGGCCTTGCACTTGGCCTTGCTAAAATTCAGGAGGTTCCCCTGGGCCCTGAATATGTCTAAAACCACTCAAGTATTACAATATTGCAGTTTTCTGTATTTTTTTGCAACAATTCAAACAAGGAGTATGAACTGACAGTGTTCACTGTTCTCACAAGAGTGGGAGCAAACATGCTGTGCCCTTGTCTAGTGAGACTGGAAGGCAGATGGGTTGGATTCCCTTTCCTGTGGGCTTGTCCAGAGGAAAGGAGGATATTGTCCCATACAGTGAATAAAGCATTTCCTCATATTTCGCTCTCCCTTGTTGTCCCTGCTCAGTCAGGGGCTGAGGGATGAGCTGTACTTCACCTGGCTGGAACATCTCCACATTCACTGCTCAGGGTTTTGGGAGGTCTTTGTTATCGGAAGACTCTGCAGCGCAGATTTACTGATGGTTCCATAGGCCTGGGAGTAGCTGCCCATCGATGCTCTTGGATCACCTGCAGCTCCCACATTTGCAGTGATCTGGAACATCTTTTTACTGGGCTTCAGAAGGGGACGAACATCTTTGCTGTGACACTGAGAGTTTCTGGGATTCTATGTGAGAAAGAAGAGCCAAGATAAGTTAATAACATGGAATCATCTTTCTGGAATGCAAATAAGATACAGGTTTGGCTTTGGTCAGCATGACCCTCTCAGGGAACAAACACAAAGCTCAGGGCACACGTTGGCTGATCATCTCCCTATTCTGCTTTTCCTGTCACAGAAAGTTGGTCAAAATTCCCTGAAGATTCTTTCAAAGTCATTGGTTATGTGTACACATGCACGCACATCAAGCTCCACAATCCCATCTGGGGATTGGCTCCTCTCACTCTCAAAACCTATCCATTTTGGATAGGATTCCAAAGCAGAGGGGCTGAAATGTGAGTTGCAAGTGGGCTCCTGGACATGCTTGGAGTTTCTGGCAATGTGGGCTAATGAAAGTTGTCCCTGCCCATGGCAGAGGGGTGGAATGAGATGAGTTTAAAGGTCCCTGCCAACCCAAACCAGTCTGTGATTCTGTCATACTATCAATCTGTGGTGCCTCCTTCCATACTTCCATACTCTTCCATACTCTTCCTCTGATCGCTTGTGCAGGTGCCATGAGTCACCAGGCAACAGACAGCCAGCTCAGGAACAGAAAAAGCAGGAGCAAGAAGCAATTAAAGAACCTAGCCAGGGTTCTTTTAAAGTCTTTTACAAGGAAGTATGGCCAAGAACAGGGAAGAGGGAGGAGCAGAGAGGAGAGGACTGACACCTTGCTCAGCAACAGCAATCCATTAGAATCATGGAATCATCAAGTCACGGAATCGTTTGGATTGGAAAAGCCCTCTGAGCCCAACAAGTCCAGATGCTCCCCCAGCACTGCCAAAGCCACAACTAATCCAGGTCCCCAGGTGCCACACCCACATGACTGTTAAACCCCTCCAGAGATGAGAACTCCACCACTGCCTTGGGCAACCTGTGCCAGGCCTGGACAGCCCTTTCCATGAAGAAATTTTCCCAATATCCAACCTGAACCTCCCCTAGCACAACTTGAGGCCATTTCCTCTTGTCCTGTCCCTGGTTCCCTGGGAGCAGAGCCTGACCCTCATCTGGTTCCCTCCTCCTGTCAGGGGGTTGGAGAGAGTGAGAAGGTCCCCCTGAGCCTTCTTCTCTCCAGGCTGAGCCCGCCCCACTCCCTCAGCCACTCCTGGTGCTCCAGCCCCTTCCCCAGCTCTGTTCTCTTCCCTGGACACGCTCCTCAATGTCTTTCTTGTCGTGAGAGGGCCAAAACTGCCCCCAGGACAGGGGACGGGCTCTGCCCTGGGCCTGTGGCCACACTGTGGCTGCTACAAGTGAGGAGCCACTGGCCTCTTACCCCCCTGGGCACACCCAGGCTCATGTTCAGCCCCTGTCACCAGCAACTCCAGGAACTTTTCCAGCTTTCCAGCCACTCTATCCCAAGCCTGGAGCACTGCAGGGAGTTGTTGTGACCCAAGTTACCGCAAGTAAGGATTAGACGTTAAGCTACTCACATTGTAAAGGTTCTGCACATTTCTAGGAGGGAGCCCAGTGTTTGTCCATGAGATTTGTCTCCCCCCTTTCCCAGTGTTGGAGATTCTGGGCTGTTGAGGTGGTGCAGAAAAGTTCCTGATCCCAGCAGAAGGATTTGCATTTCCTGCAGAAGGAAAAACATGAGAGGAAGTAAGAAAATGGTGAGGACACAGAACCCCTGCACTGAGGCAGGGACAGTCACACACCACTCATTCAACAGTGTTTTGTTCTTATGTCATTTTCCTCCCACACTTCCACCCCCTCTTTTTACCGTGCAAATTCCCCTCATTCCTCTTACAGCATTCAGTCTCTCTTCTTTCTTCCCCAAAACAATGCCCCATGGTGTGTCACACCCTGGTGTGGGAGGGTGGTACCTACTGTGCACAGTGGTGTGTGTGATGGGGTTGTACATCACCACACTGATCTGTGATCTCTGACACACAGTTCTGGCCAAATCCTTGCTCTGGCTGGATCCTGTTGGCTGGACTCCAGCTGTGGCTCCAGCATGCACATGTGAAGGGTTTGGGAGAGGAATTGTTGGTTCTTGCTGGTCTTTTCTGGTGGGTACAGTCACTGAGCTGAAATTTGGGAGAAGTGGGCTAGATTCAGACTGGCTCAGCTGAATGTTTTCTCTCCTCCCTTGCTCCTTTAGAAGGCTCCTTGATTTTTTTTCAAGGATCAACTGCAGAACAGAAAAGCTGGCTAGACTTAATGCAGCAATACAACAGAGGAACAAAACATCAAAACAAAGAGGAATACTTGTAAATATCTGGAATTTATTTCACAGGATAAGTAACAAGTATAATTTTGGAACTCTTTAGGCTTTCTTCCAAGCCAAACCATTCTGTGATTCTATGATTCCATGGCTGTTGGATCCAGCATAGTATATTTCCCTCTAACCCAGTTTTTCTCAGACATCATGCTTCAGAGACTTTTCCTTTCCCAGCGGGAATTTTGATTTAAAGGTCTCTCAAAGATTCTGACAGTATGGAACTGACTGACCAAACACCAAGGTGTAACTGTGTCAGCAGGTATGGACAACCCAGGGGAACACAAAGACAAGACAACAGAATTTGTTAAGTGTGTGCAAGAATGGCAGGTTACCTGGAGGATTAGTATTTGGGAAAACAAGATGAAAGTACCTCATATAATTTATTTCGATAATCTGCCACAGACAGTTGGACATCATCACCCAAAGGAAGGACCACATTATAATCCAAAGAGGGCTCCCTGGAAGGACAGTGGAATCTAAGGAGATGAGAACACATCATGTAATTCACTGACTGAAAGCAGCACCACAGAGTAATACAATTTAAACAGTATTGTTAAACATGTATGTTAAACATCTCATGTAAATAGCATAGGAGAAAATGAAGAATTAGCTTTGGTTTTTTTTTCTATAATGCATTTGGAGAAAACTTGTGCCAGGAACAGGTTTGTAATGTCTCTGAAGACATCAGGGGAAGCTGCACACTGGTGTCACTCTCACCTGTTCACATAAGGATGCTGCAGAGCCTCCTCTGCTGTGAGCCGTTTGTCAGGGTTAAATACCAGAAGTTTCTTCAGCAGATCCAAGGCAGGCAGTGGAGTAGAGGGTGGGAAAATCTCCTCAAATGTTACTCGCTGCCTAGAAGACAGAAAACAATAATATGAGTTCGCAGCATCCAGTTCCCAGTGAAGGTAGGAATGACAGTTATGGGGATCATGCCAAGGTGACACCTGACCCCAGAGTTCACTCACAAAGATAATCACTGAATCCTAGAATTGTTTGGGTGGGAAGGGACCTTGAAGCTCATCTCTTGCTAGCCCCATGATCCCACAAATTCAGACCTGAGACCACAGAAACACATTTCTGTGTAATTTGCAATGAAAAGATGAAGTTTGACAATCTAGTTTTGTATTTTGAAACCCTAAATATAACTGTAAACATAATCAACAAGAAAGTATCTTATGCATTTGAAATATCAGTTCTAAAACCCAAATCTTACCTATATTTTAAATAATTTCTATTTAAGAAGAGACTTTGAAGTCCCTTCCACTGCCTAAAGGAGCTCCAAGAGAGCAACTTCAGACAAGGGCCAAGAGTGACAGGACAAGGGGGATGAGCTTCCCACTGGAAAAGTGGGGATTTAGATGGGATATTGGGAAGAAATCCTTGCCTGTGAGGATCATGAGTGACTGGAATGGATTTCCTGGAGAAACTGTGGCTGCGCCACCCCTGGAAGTGTTCAAGGCCAGGTTGCACAGGGCTTAGAGCAACCTGGGATAGTGGAAGGTGTCCCTGCCCACGGCAAGAGGTTGCACTGGATGATCTTGAAGGTCACTTCCCACCCAAACCATTCTAGGATTCCATGATTCCATGGTCATACAGTAGGTGATCTGAGACACATAAACACCCCAGGCTTACCGGGAACTCATGTGGTTAATAACTGAGGCCTTGTACTCTGACTGCAGAGCCAAAATATCTGCGATAATAAAAAGATAACGATAATCATCTTGTTAATGCCAAGATGAGCATTACCAGAGCTACACAGTTTATGAAGGAAAGCAAATATTATTTGATGTTAGTACAGAAAATTACTCTCATAAAACATAATGGGAGATCTGTGGAAGGGGAATGGAATATTTACTTACAAATTTTCTAACGTGATTTCTGAATTCATATTTATTAATCATAGGCTTCATAAACCTGCACTCTCACACCCACAGAGGCAGAAGCACCAAGATATCTGAATTTCTTTTCCTCTAACACTAACATTCACAATTAAGTCTCTAATTTCCTTGGAAAGGTGCCAGAATGACCCACAAGAGATACCTTCTCCTCTTATCCATCTGCGCTACTTTCTTCCCCCCTTTAATCCCTCCTCTAAATCCCTTTCCCCACAGCAGAGTCCTACCTTCTGGGGACGGAGCAGGGATGACCCTTAGGATCTGCTCTATTTGATTCATTGTTGATGTTCCAGGAAAAAGAGGCTTCCCAAGCAGCATCTCTCCCAGAATACAGCCAATGCTCCACATGTCTACACCTTTAGTGTAACTACAAACAGGATTAGAATAGAGTTGGGATTACATCAAGCAACTGTTTTCCTGTACCTGCTATTCACATCATCTACATTGATCTATTTTGCTAGAAAACGTGCTTGGTGACTTCTCAAACATGAATGCTCACATTTGAACTATAAATTGAATGACATTTGGGAATCATGAGACTGACAAGCATGAAACAGAAAGGAGATTTAGCCTGCTCAAAGGCTAGTCTAGGAAACCATAAAAGGAAATATATAACAGAGAAATGCTAGAACAAGGCAATATATAAAAGGTAAAGCCAGAAAAAGGTAAAATATACTTTTCATATGACCAAGAATGAAAATACATGTTTATCTTTGGAAACAACTGAGTTTTCAAGGCATAATGTAGGTATAAAGTAGTTACAATTACTTAAAAATTATATTTTTAAGCAAGTAAATACCAGACAATCAGTATAGGACAGTTTGCAAGACACCCACATTTAAATCTGGGATACTACCTCAGTCTCTATTTATTTACTTTTCTGATTTTTCATCTTTAAGTCAAAAAAAGGACTAAACCTGACTAAGAGGCAGCTGGTTTAATGGTTGATTACAGGGTATTTCCTGAAGATCTTTTAAAAAACACTCCTTTAAATTGGAAAAGAGAACTTAGGGTCTCAAGCAAAGTTTGTAAAGATGTGGGTTTAAAGGGTGAAAGAACAAGTCTAGTGGAGAAAGGGTGACAAACAGATAAGCTGCTCATGTACGTACATGAACTCTCTAAGAACACAGGAAGGATACGTACATATTAATGAGAGTTTTTTATGTTGAAGAACTGAAGTTTAAATGTATATTGAGAAAACAGACTGACACAACATTGCATCCAGTGACATCCAAAACTAAATGATTTAAGACTTTTAGACAATCAGTTTTCCAGTGATGAAGAAGTTACGGACTCCCATTGCTTCGCTCACCTGCGAGAGGCCAGTAAGATCTCGGGGGCCCGGTACCAGCGTGTGGCCACGTACTCGGTCAGCGCAGGGCTGGCCTGGTCCTTGCCCTGCTGGCACAGGGAACGTGCCAGCCCAAAGTCACACAGCTTCACACAGCACTCTGCATCCAGCAGGATATTGGAAGGCTGGATTGAACACAGGAGAATTAACTGGCTTTTGACTCTCTCAGTAGCAGAAGATTATTATCAAGGTTCTTTTATTAGTCTCCTACTTGCATACTTTTTCATACTTTTCCTATGAAGCCAGGCTGGGAGAGCTGGGGGGTGTTCAGCCTGGAGAAGAAGAGGCTCTCAGTAGACCTTAGAGCTCCTTCCAGTGCCTACAGGGGCTCCAGGAGAGCTGGAGAGGGACTTTGGACATGAGCCTGGAGGGACAGGGCAGGGTTAGATGGGATATTGAGAAGATATTCCTCCATGTGAGCATGGTGAGGCCCTGGCAGAGGTTGCCCAGAGAAGCTGTGGCTGCCCCATTCCTGAAGGTCCAAGGCCAGGTTGGATGGGGCTTGGAGCAACCTGGGCTAGTGGAAGGTGTCCCTGCCCATGGCAGGGGAGTGGGACTGGATGCACTTTGAAAGGTCCCTTCCATCCCAAATCAGTCTGTGATTTTATTTAGCGTTTGACAGAAAACTGGAGTGAAGGATACAGACAATGACTGAAATGTACCTTCTGATCCCTGTGAATGACATTCCCTGAGTGGATGAATTTAGTTGCCTTCAGGAGCTGATAGAGAATGTAACACTTGTGGATATCTTTCAGCAAATTCCCCTTCTTAATAACAGCATGTAAATCTGTCTCTGTAATATATTACAGCAGTAACATATTTACATCAGTAAATATCAGTAGTATCACGAATGCTCATGTAAATCACCAGCACACCACTATCAAAGTGGGAATAAGGATAACTTCTAAGAGAGGTTGGATTGAGACCAGCTCCAATGCTGAGCCTTACCCATGGACTCGAAGATGAGGTAGATGTCCTTGTCATTCTCAGCTTGGATAACATCGAGCAGCTTGATGATATTTGGATGTTCTCCAAATTCCTGTGCAGGGAAGAGACCCAGCTGTCAAAATCACATATTTTGCTTGTGAATCACAAAAAGGGACAATAACCTATTTCAGTTTGTATTACAGTCTTGAACAAACATTAACATGCTGTTTCCTTGATTAGGCTTCTTCTGAAATAAACTTTAAAAAAGAATTTAAGCTTGTTCCATAGTAGAAAACCAGACAGTTAATCTGAAAAATAATTTCTGTTGACTGAAACATTGATTCTAAAACTCCCTCTATACCAGTTAAAATAAAATCCGGTCCCCTTTATGCACCTCTCATTTCCTACTGAATCAAAGAATTATTGTGGTGTGAAAATAATAGATCATAGTGTCCATCAACATTCATAGTTAAAAACCCAAACAGCCATCACGTGTCCACCTGAGGGCTGCTTGGAGATTCACAGGTTATATTGAGAGATCAGACAGCTTAGATACCTGAACACAGGTGTCTCACACTGGAGGTGGAGTTCATGCTTGCATTTGCAGATTGCCAATCTGCAGATCCTGATGGGATCATTCAATTCATCCCCAGCTTTAACAGCTTTTATTTACCACAGCAAACACGTCTGTGCAACCAGAGACACTGCAAACACTTCATAACACACCAATGTTTTCATGAACTACTGTGAGAACAAAATTATGAATTGCTGCACCATAAAACCTGCGCTTGTATCTAAAATACATAAATAATTTATTTGAACCGATACTATGGACTCTTTACCTATTTCCATCACAAATTCAGTTATAAACAGTATCAAAAATCCTAATAATAAGCTATCCGCAGCTTACAACAGGATCATCTTCCTACACTCTGAGGCCAAAACAAAACTTGGTTATAACGTGTGACATCTAAAAAGTCCACAAATCAACACATTCACGTGCAGCAACCTGTGAAAACACACTCACAAAGCAGTGACACACAGCCAGACCATCACATATCTCGTTTTCATTCTGAGGACAAGAGTCACAATGCCCATCCAAATGATCTAAAGCAGGTATTTACACAAAAGGGGATATTGTTCTAGAGATGCAGATCAATTTTGACAGTGTTACTTGAGTTCTATTTAAGAACAAAAACACCACTGTCTCACACTGCCTTGCCCTGGAACTGCTAAGGGAAAGTCATGAAAAAATTTCAATCTGTACTAAAAAAACATGTTACCTTGAAAAAAAAAACCCTCATCAGGCCAGTCCTGCTAATCTTTGCTTACAGTGCTGTCACTAAAGTACTTACCAAAAATGACATTCTAAAATTGGCCTAAAATACACCGGTAGATCTACAACTACGCTGAACAGCAAACACAAAACCTGCAAGCAATGGCTAGTACACAGCAGAGTACCAGAGAATCATCCAAATCCCAGATTCTACAGCAACGTCTCAATTACAGTAATTGAGATAAATAATATAAAACAATAATCCAGTTCATCAAATTCCCTTGTGATAGAGATTAAACAACGTAATTATTATTCATGGACAAACAAATTAAGACAAACATCCAGTTACAAATAGCAGAGTATTTCTTAAATCTTTTCTTTTCTGATCCCTCAGTCTTGAACCTCAAGAAAGATGTATAAAATAGGAGGGGAAACTAAAATGCTTAAGTTTATTGAGCACCAAAAGTCATGGAAGTACAGGCTGAATAGCACATTAATTTCCCTCCCCAGCCCCCTGCTGTCAAATGACTCCTCCTTTCCTTCAGTTCAATATCGATTCTCCTTCAGGAGAAATATCCTTCTTTTCCCTGCTCCTCCTCCACCCATCCGCTCCAGAAGTGCTGCACTTTCAGAGATGATCTAACTTACATGTAATTCACTTCTAAGGAATTGTTTATATTTTTAGTTTTTAAGTTTGCAGCTTCTATTTCAGGCTTCAAGAATGACTAAAAAGTAAAAAACCCTCATCTCTTTACTAAGACTTTTGGCAGTCTTAGGAAATACCTATTCCATGAGCCCTGTCTCACTTGTGTCCTTAGAAAATCACAAGTTATAACAACACTATTTCAAAATATTGATGTTTCTACATGGTGAGTGTGAGGAGGAATGGACAAATAATTATAATGCCACTGATAAGGTCAATTATATCACAACAAGCACAGCTTTAAGTTACTCCTTGCAGATGTTCCCTTTTTGTTTTGCTTTGATTATTTTAAGTGATCAAATTGCTTCCCACATGATGGGGAAAAGCAATTTTTGCATGTAAATCCCCCCCCCATCTCAGGCCCCCTCTGATCATGGCAGTTAAAATGTAAGAGAAAGAGTTTGTGTCCATAAAGAAGCAAGAAATGACAGAAAGAGCAAGTCTACCTGTTGATGATGCAGGAGACACATTGCTAGAAATGGGGAAAGACTAAAGAGAGACTAAAAAGAAGCGCAAATGAAGAGTGTTTCATTCAGGTGCATTTGCCCTGAAAGGCTCTTTGCCAAGATGGCGCAGTAAAGAAATGAAAGAGTTGTCAACACTAATCATTGATCCCTGCATTTTGGGAAACAATAGGAAGAAAATACGTGGACGTCAGAGATAATAAAAAATCACAGTGGAGGAGGAACATGGTCATTACCTGCAGGAACATAATCTCTCGAAATGTTCTCTGGAAATAAAGAAAAAGTAGTTTATTATCACCTCAAGAGAATGGCAGGGGATGCACTTCAATGAGAGGGTTACATCCAATCCTCTTTTGTAGATGCCATGATACACAAAGCTTGACATTTATTGTTCCATTTTATCCCAACAGAGCTGCAGACTGTATTATTACACACATAATTATTATCTTTCAGAGACGAAACTCTTGAAAACACCTATGGAATCCCACCCCATCTCACAACACATCAGGACAATGATTTTTCACCTGAGCATCTGTCCTGTTCCTGAAAGCATCAAAAATCTTTTTAACAGCAACTATTTCTCCTGTCCTGCGGTCAATTGCTTTCCAGACGATGCCATAGGCCTGGGGAGAAACAGAGACATGTGAGGAGTGTGCTGACACCCTGTCCCAGCTCAGGCCTGCAGAGGAGCCAGAATGTACTCAACAAAGGACTGGAAGAGATCACCAGCTACCTGGAAGAGAGAGAGAGAGATCAGGCCAAGGAGCCCCTCTGCTCTGGAGCCAGGCTGGGAGAGCTGTGGGGTGTTCAGCCTGGAGAAGAGAATGCTCCTGGGAGACCTTAGAGCCCTTCTCAGCGCCTAAAGGGGCTCCAGGAGAGCTGGAGGGGACTTTGGACAAGGGATGGAGGGACAGGACAAGGGGGAAGGGATTCCTACTAGAAAAGTGTGGATATACATGGGACATTGGGAAGAAATCTTTGCCTGTGAGCGTAGTGAGAGATTGGAATGGATTTCCTGGAGAAACTGTAGCTGCCCCATCCCTAGAAGTGTCCAAGGCCAGGTTGGATGGGGCTCTGAGAAAAATGGTCTGGTGAAAGGTGTTCTTGCCTATGGCAAGGGGGTGAAATGAAATGATCTTTAAAGTTACTTCCCACACAAACCATTCTGTAGTTCCATGATTCCATAGAGGGAGGAAGACTTGGGGGTGCTGCTGGATGAAAAACCGGACATGAGCTGACAACATGCAGTAGCAGCCCAGAGAGTCAATCGTGTCCTTGGCTGCATCAAAAGAAGGACAACCAGGGGATCAGGTCCAGCCAGCCTGGGGTTGTGACAGGCAGGTACTGCCTGACCAACCTGATCTCCCTCTGCGACAGGGTCACCCCGTCAGTGGCTGAGGGAAAGGCTGTGAATGTATCTGCCTGGACTCTAGTAAAGGTCTGACAGTGTTTCCCACAACATTCTCCAGGAGAACCTGGCTGCTCCTGGCCTGGACAGGTGCACTGTTTGCTTGGTAAGACCCGGCTGATGGCTGGTCCCCGGGAGTGGTGGAAATGCGGCTGGGCACCAGTGGGGTTCCCCAGGCTCAATACTGGGGCCAGCCCTGTTTAATGTCTTATCGGCTCACTGGACGATGGGATTGAGGGCACTTCAGTCAGTTCACAGAGGACACCAGGCTGGGTGGGAATGTGGATCTGCCAGAGGGCAAGAACCTCTGCAGGGGGCTCTGGGAAGGCTGGATCAATGGGAGGGAATCGATGGACCAAAGCCAATGGTGTGAGGATCCACAAGGTCAAGTGCTGGGTCCTGCCCTTGGGTCACAACAAGCCCAAGAAATACTGAAGGCTTGGGACAGAGCAGCTGGAAAGCTGGAAAAGAACCTAGGGGTGCTGGTGACAGTGGCTGAATAGGAGCTCAGGTGTACCCAGATGGGCAAGAGGACAGTGGCACCTGGCCTGTGCCAGCAACAGTGTGGCCAGCAGGTCGAGAGAGGTAATTCTTCCCCTGTACTCAAGTTTGGTGAGATCCCACCTGGAGCACTGCATCCAGCTTGGAGCTCCTCAGTACAAGAAAGACATGGACCAGCTTGAGCGGGTCCAGAGGAGGCCATGGAGGTTCCCTGAGGGCTGAAGCCCCTCTGCTCTGGAGCTAGGCTAGGATAGCTGGGGTGTTCACCTGGAGAAGAAAAGGCTCCAGGGAGACCTTATTGTGGCCTTTCAAAACTTAAAGGGGGCTGAAAAGAAGGATGGAGAGAGACTTGTTACCAACATCTATAGTAACAGTATCACAGCATCACAGAATTGCAGAGGTTGGAAAAGCCCTCCAAGACCATCCGGTCCAACCACTAACACACCTTTTTTTTTTAATTAAAAACTGTATTATCTATTAGGGCAATGGGAACTTCTACCAGAGTTTTCCTTGTTCTGGATGACTGTGATACTTGCAAATGGTGATTGTTCAGTCTCACTTGTGGTAGAGATACCATTTTCTTATTTTAGGTCATAGATTTGCATCTTGACTTTCCACATTCTAGGAGCTGCTTTACTTCTGCACAAGGGGATCGTGCCCCACTCAGAAAAGCCCAGTTAATGTTTAAGTACTTGTACAAAGCAAAACAGCTGCAATGTGTAATAGCGAGTGACTTTAGTGAGTACTCACATATTTGAGTACCATGACATTGAGCCAGACTTCCCAGGAACATGTGTGGTCCTGGAGCATAGGTTCATTTGCCATGCATCAGGCAGTTGTACAAGTACCTCAGATAAGTGCTACAGTACTTCCCTGTTGGCAATTGGGATTTATCTTTTTTCTCCAAGTAACATGTGACAGGACAAGAGGAAACAGCCTCAAATTGTGCCGGGGAGGTTTAGGTTGGACATGAAGAAAATTCCTCATTGAAAGGGCTGTCCAGCCCCGGCACAGGCTGCCCAGGGTAGGGCTGGAGTCTCCACCCCTGGGGGGTTTAACAGCTGTGTGGATGTGGCACTTGGAGACACGGGTTAGTGGAGGTCTTGGCAGTGCTGGGGGAGCAGCTGGACTCGATGGGCTCAGAGGCTTTTCCAGCCCTCTCTCACGTGCCCCCTTGCAATTGCACATGAAATACTTAAACACTCATATCAATGCAACTAACCAACGACAAAGAGCTGCCAGAATAGAAATGCAGATAATTGAGGAGGGTTTGGAGACTGTCTGAGGAGAAATATCTTAGAAATTACCACTGGCTCATGTATAGAAATACATTCCATGCAGAAGACATGACTTGATGCAGCATGATGTGTGAAGTGAGAGGGTTACAGGAAATGCAGAAGGATTTGGCAGGCACAGAGGGAATGTACTTTGAGACTCGAATCCATTTTACTATTTACCCCCGAGCTCCCACGCCCCTCCCTCCCGAGCTCCCCTGGGTCACCTGGAGCTCCCACGGAGTCCTGAGCTCCAGACAGGGTCCCTGAGCTCCCACGGGCACCTGAACTCGCCTTGGGCCCCTCAGCTCCCCGGGCCACCTGAAGCTCACACAGGGCTCTGAACTCCACACGGGACCGACGAGCTCCCACGGGCCCCCCCAGTTCCCATGGGCAGGCGGGCACTCACCCCCTTGCCCAGCCGCCTCTTGATCTCGTACTTCTGGCACACAAGCGGCTCCACCTCAGGCGGGCTCATGGCGGCGCCTCCCTGCTGGCTGCCGCTGCCATGGAAACGGCCCCGCGCCCCGCGCACGCGCAGCGTGGGGCGGGACGGGGGGTGGAGACGGGAACATGGCGTCCCTTTCCGGTTAGTGTGCGCTGCAGTCCTGGGGCGTGCGGGAGGGACAAAGGAGGATGCAATAAAAACGAACTAATTTCTTGAAGGAATCATGAATATTCATAAAATACTTAAGTCAGAAGCCGTGGTAATTTCTTCTACAGGTTTTAATTTGGACGAGATAAACGCGGAGACCAGTAATACCTGACGCTGTATACATGCAACAGCTACAGGAAGGGGATGGATGCCAGGATTTAAATTTTGCATATGAGTAACATGCTGATGTTAGAAACGAGTTTTGGGAGATCATGATGTACCCTTGTCACAGTGAGTGTTATACCGAATTTAGGTCACAGGAACACAAATGCTTTTAATTTATAACGAATTACACCAGCATAGTAGTAGAGTCATGCTCAGTGCCTACACTGCCAGACTCAAAACATGGTTTGGCTTTGGACAGTCTGGTACGATGCTGACATTTCAAACCCTGCAGCATACGAGTAGTACATCACGGTCTGTTTACATAACCTCGGGGCTCTGAAATTTCTTATGCTTTTAAGTTTGAAGCATGGAACTCTGCTCTTACTTCACTGCTTTGTGCCACCTCGAAAGTCACAGTTTTAGGAGACTGAGGTAAATGCCAGTGGGTAGCTTTTTAGTATATCTAGTGAATTATTAACCATTGTGTAAAAGGAATACCATTCTATATTGCAGGATGAACAACACAACCCTGGGCATTAACCTCAAATATACTGGTTTTATAGACTTGCTGGGGCCTAATTTTACTCTGCCATGGGAAAAAAACTCTGCTTCATCTACTCTACATTTCTGTGAAGCGTCAGTTTCTACAGATCGATGTTTTTAATTTTCTCATTTATTCAGGATATATGACTTAAATCCTGAACAACCAAATATATTCCAGGAGGAGCAGCTGGAACATTTATGAAAGAATTTCCAGAGTGGAAAAGCTGTGTGTTCCACAGTCAGCCATTTAAATCCATATCTCCATGTAAATGTCATCGTAGTTGCCTGGAAGAGAAATCTATAGATAACTTAAAGAGTGTTGAAATGCAGAAGGATTAATTCTAGGTGTAATGCTGGTTTGTATCTGTTTAACTTTCACCACTGGAACAGTTCTGTCTGTGCCTTCTGGTTGTTCATTTTATTTTTAAGTCCCCACATAACAATAGCTGTGTTCCTGAGAGTAGTTATTAAAATTTCAAACAATTTTGTTATAAGTAAAATGAAACTGAGTTGAAATATAGTAATAAAATTTATTGAAGATTTATGAAAAATGCAAATAAGCAAAACAGCACTGCTGGGCGGCCAGGGAGACTCCTGCTCCACTCACGGCACGCAAGCCCAGTAAGTAAAAACAGTAACTTTTATTCCCTTATCAGTTTCCCTCCCATAGTCACTTGTTATCCTTCTATTGGATTCGAGTTTGCAGGTCTGATTCTGGTTGGTTTCTCTGCAAGCCCGTTTTAGTTGCCAGGTGCTTTCCTGTCCATAGTTTTAATTAATCTTTAGTCCTTGAAGCTTGGTGTGTTAGGTATTTCCAAATTGTGGGAGGAACATGATGAATGTGTGAGCAATTTATATTGTGTGTGGTACTTTTATAAACTTTCATATAGTTTTATAGGTACTAAAAGTTATAGGTGTCAAGATGGCCGCGGGTGTCTTTGCTAGAACAAAAGGAAATCAGTGCCAAGAAGAAGGTGGAGTTTGATAAAGTAAATAATTGCCTTGTTACCTGTTAATAACCAATTATAAAGGTATTTGTAATGCATGTTTACATCTGGACAGTGACCTGTAACCAATTATGTGCTTCTTGTCACGAGACCTTGTATACAGATGCTATAAAAACCCTGAGCTATCCTAATAAATCGGACATATTTTAGATCTCATAGGTCGTGTATGTATGTCTCAGAGCCTCCCCGTCAACACCAGATGTCCATCTTGGATACTCTGTATCATTCTCGCTTCTGACTCTTTGATTCCTGTCCTTCCCTTCATTACTTTATGCTTGCTATGAGACAATAAGCTTTGTATAAAAGTAAGATACAAAATACTTATTCAGTAAAGCACAATAATTTGTCTTTCCAGCTTAAGAACTGCAAACTGCATGACTATTAGCTCAACCATTCTGTAACTTACAGTCTCCCAATCTTAACAGAACATTGATTATAATAACATATATATGTATATAAGAATATAACATGCAATACAATTTAATGAGTAAACTACTACTACTAATTTGATGAGTAAATTAGATTACTACTACTATTACTTATTACAGTGTTAAAATATTCAGCCATTTATAATTATCGTTCCAATATACATGTCCAGTTTTAACTTTTTTCCCATAATCAAGTCTCAAATCTCGAAAAAGAAAATAAATGCTTGTGTTTTAAAAAAAGAAAAAACACCAAAAAACCAAAAACAAAACAAAAAGCCAAAACAACAACAACAACAAAACCAAAACAAAAAAACAAAACAAAAACCCAAACCAAAAACAATCTTGGAAGTGGAAGCTCAGAAACTAAATTGTAGGGAAATTACAATGATATGATACTGAATATGCTGAAAAATTGTTTTGAATTTGATTTTACTTACAGGCTGACAAGCTGTACCAGTTATCTGACAACAGGATATTAAGAGAGTGATTGCAAGATACACATAAATAGATCTGACCTGAATGATTGGTGCCTCATATATTTGTGTTTGCACTGACACATCCATCTGTACAAAGCTTTGTGCCGCTTTAAAAGTAAACTGCAATGCATATAAATTCATTTTCTCCAACACTTCATTGGCTGTCTGGGTTCTGCCATTTTTCTTTCATTTGTTGGTGTAGAGGTACAGGGCCTGTGTACACCATCAAGGGTGAGCTACAAGGACAATTTAAGTCTGCTAAACTTTAGGGATGTTTCTAATAACTTTTAACAGTATTACAGAAACATCCTTGGTGGTTGAAAATCCTTTTTGCACAGTAACCTTAATAAACAGAATATATATCATGCCCAGACTCTACAAAAAGCATGCTTAGCTCCAAAGCATGAAATGTAGGTGTTTGCCAAAGTCTTTGCACCTTTACAGTGCTGCTTATGTGTGAAGAGTGCAAGGACCAACTCATAATCTTCATCTTCCTTGCCTAAAACCATAAACCTATTGTCAACAAACATTTGAAGAAAAGGCTGAACCATATATGGTTTGCCTTAGTTACGTAATGCAAGCTCGTAGCTTTTCTATTTTCATTGGAGCAAGAATCACAAGTGTACTGAAGTCAAATAATTGGTATTCTGTGGGCTGGTATATCTGTCCTCTGTAATTTATTACAGAGTCAAGTTTGGAGGTCTGAACAGATCTGTTTGCCTCTCCTTTTTTCCTCTGAAGTTGTAGGTCATGCCAACACAACATCTGGAACTTCCTATTGAAGGTTCATGTAGAATAACAATGGAAAATATTTTTTTCTCTTGTAAATTGACAGTGAAAATAATTGTGAATACTGTGTAGTATGTATGTATATTCTTTATATACAGTCATCGCTATACAGAACTGATTGTACAGAGAGTAAAGCCATCGCAAGTGCTTGAGGCTGCCCTGCTGAGCAGTTGGAGACAGCTTGCACATTTCAGCACTGAAAATTCGTTTGTCCTGCACAGACAGTACTGTTACCATTGGGTATCTGGAAGCTGTCTAAAATAAAATAAAATGAAAATTAAAAAAAAAAAAAAAAAAAAAAAAAGACCAGGCGCGTTTAAATCCCGTTCTCCGCGCCTGTCCGCTGCCGGGGCACCGCCCCTGGGGGAGGCCTGCTGGGCCGGGCCTGGGATATCGCCAGTGGGGGGGCTCCGCCGGGCAGGGCCGGGTGCCCCGAGATGTCGCCGTGTGGGCCCGGGCGGTTCTTCTGCACGGCGGGCCGCGGGCTGGAGCCCTTCCTCGCGCGGGAGGTGCGGGCGCGGCTCGGCGCCACGGAGGTGAGCGGGGAGCTGGAGCCCGTGCCCAGCCGGGAGGTGCGGGGCGGTCCAGCGGGGGCAGTGCGGCCGCGTGCGTTCCGCGCCTTGGAGCCACCTGCGGGCCCCGCGGTGCCGGACCCGGTCGGAAGGGCCTCTGCACCGCGGGCCGGGGGAGCCGCCCGGGGCCGTGTCCCACCGCCACCCGAGGGGCTCACCCTCAGCTTCCCGGCGGCTGCGGGGGGTGCTCTCTCCGCAGGTGGACTGCGTCTCGGGAAAGGTGTTTTTCAGCGCGGCGGCGGGGCCGGGCGAACTGAGGAAGCTGCGGTCGGGGGAGCGGCTGTTCCTGCTGTTGAAGAAGCACAGCCCGCTGACAGTGTCTGGGAACAAAGGTACGGCTCGGCGAGGGTTGCGCGGGAACGGGAAGCCGCAGTTCGAGTCCTAGTAATAAAACTTATATTTTAGGTATTTGTCTTTTTACTGATGGCTCTAGTTCTAATTGACAACAATCGATTCTGAAGTGTCTTCCACTCAGATATGTTTTCAACAACTTTTTTTACCTGAAAAGGGCTTTTAAATTATTTTCAATAGATACCTTCCAGACTACATTCTGATGGCACTGAATGTATAAGAACCACCCCCACCCCGACCGCTCCCATAAAAGAAAAGAACAAACACCTTACCCAAAGTCCAGTTCTGGATCCCTTGTGTTCATTTTAACAATAACTCATTTTCTGTTAGAGTGGATCCAGGCCTATATCCTATGTCACTTGTTCAATACACAAGTTCCTTGTAAATGTCAGCTACTTGGGTCACATACTCTGTCAGTGTGGAATAAGAATTTCAAGTTAGATGAATTGGTATCTACCTGCTGGTGGGTTTTTATTTGGGAGATCACGGATCACTAATATCCTTCAGCTTTGAGGATCAAATTTGAGATTCTAAAATTTTGAATGAGAACTAGGAAAACTTTCTTTTTTTTTCCTCATGAGCAGGTTTGAAGTGTTTAGGTGAATTGACTTTGTATTGCTTGTGTCTCTCTTGTAGCTAGCTCAGGAGGACTGCCCACATGTGTAAGTGTAAGTGCATGTTGCAGGATTGAAGGCAGGTTGATGAATGTAAGGAGAGACTTCCTTTCTGAAAGAACAAATATGTGGCTTCTTGCCTGAGCTGAATCAAAGTAATTCATGTTTATATCTGTCTTTCAATCCTGGAAAGTGTCATACATCTCCTAATCCTAGACCAAGTGCTCTCTGGGGAAGATGATGTGGTAGGCTGTCCCTCTGTTCCTGCTGGGAATGACTCTCAGAGGTGGTGTGGTTTTCTAGAGCTGTTGAGTTTTTGTAGCTGTAGCACAAACAACAAAAAGCTACAACAGAAACTTCGTGACATCCAGAACAAATGGTGGACCAATCTAACAGAAAAAATCCAATTATGTGCAGATACAGGTGACTACAGGGGATTCTATGAGGCTCTGAAAACAGCCTACGGTCCTACACACCAGGTTCAAAGCCCTTTACTCAGTGCAGATGGCCAAATGCTTCTCACAGATAAAGTTTCCATTTTGAATCGATGGTCTGAACACTTTCAGACTCTCTTCAGTACTAACCGTGTAGTTCAAGACTCAGCAATGCAGTACATTTCACAACAACCAGTGAAAACTGAACTGGATACTGCCCCCACCATGGGAGAAACTCTTAAAGCAATACAGCAGGTGAAAATTGGCAAGGCAGCTGGGGTTGATGGAATCCCACCTGAAATCTGGAAGCACTCCATGCTAAGTTTCACGAATTTGTGGTGCACTGTTGGGAACGAGGTGAACTGCCTTCAGACCTACGTGACGCTGTCATTGTCACCTTGTACAAGAGGAAAGGAGATAAATCAGGCTGCTCAAATTACCGAGGTATTACTCTGCTCTCCATTGCTGGTAAAATCCTTGCAAGAATTCTGTTGAACAGATTAATACCTGCCATAGCAGATCTTCTGCCTGAAAGCCAGTGTGGTTTCCGAGCCAACAGAGGTACCACAGACATGGTATTTGTTCTCAGACAACTGCAAGAGAAGTGTAGGGAACAGAACAAAGGACTCTATGTAACCTTGGTTGATCTCACCAAGGCTTTCGATACTGTGAGCAGAAAAGGTCTGTGGCAGATTTTGGAACGTTTAGGATGTCCTCCCAAGTTCCTCAAAATGATCATCTCGCTTCATGAGGACCAGCGCGGCCAAGTGAGACATGGTGACGTACTTTCTGAGCCGTTTCCCATAGCCAATGGTGTGAAGCAAGGCTGCATTCTCACACCAACTCTATTCACAGTCTTCTTCAACATGATGCTCCAAAGGGCCACGGCAGACCTCGATGATGAAAACGGTGTCTACATTCGATATTGTACCGATGGGAGCCTATTCAGCCTAAGGCAACTGAATTACCTGGGAAGCATCATCTCCTCAGACGGTAAGATTGATGCAGAAATAGACAACAGGTTAGCAAAGGCATACAGAGCTTTCGGTAAACTCCATAAAAGAGTGTGGCAAAACAAACACCTGAAGAAAAGTACAAAGATCAGCGTTTACAGAGCTGTTGTACTGTCTACTCTTTTGTATGGGTCCGAATCATGGGTCATTTACCGGCACCACTTGCGTCTCTTAGAACGCTTCCATCAGCGCTGCCTCCGCACAATTCTAAACATCCACTGGACTGACTATGTGACCAACACGTCTGTCCTTGAGCAGGCAGCATTCATGAGCATTGAGGCCATGCTGCTGAGAACACAGTTGTGCTGGGCAGGGCACATCTCCAGGATGCAGGACTGCCGCCTCCCTAAGATCGTGCTCTGTGGGGAACTTGCCACTGGCTGCCACAAGAGAGGAGCCCCGAAGAGGAGATACAAGGACTGCCTGAAACAATCCCTCAGCCTTGGCCATATTGATCACCCCCACTGGTCTACCCTGGCCTCCAATCGGGAGGCCTGGAGACACACCATCTATAACGCTGCTGCTGCTTTTGAGAACACACGCAGGATCACTCTCGAGGAGAAAAGACAACGCAGAAAGAATCGCGTCTCGTCGATATCACCTGGGGAGTCTTTCTGCTGTGCCTTCTGCAACCGGACTTGTCTATGTCACATTGGCCTTTTCAGCCATCTTCGCGCTTGTAGCAAGCGTGGGGAGAGCCCTTTCAAATCTTCGTTCGTGAAGCCCAGCCATGATGATGAGTTTTTGTACAGAGTTCATCCCTTGCATGAATTAATCTTGGTTGTGCAGAGCTTTTAATCGGAGGGATGCCTGTGTGTCTGCTGGTGGACAGGTGAGTGCTGAGAGCTCAGCTGTGCCTGTGGTGTTTGTTGCTGGTTCCTGGATTCACACATTAAGGAGTCTGAACGAAGTCTCTGTTAACAGCTGTTCTCAGTCTGTAGGAAAATCAAATACTGAGACTGAACTACTTAGCACAAAACTGCTTTTTTCTTCCAGGGAAAATGCTGCATGAGATTAAAAGCCTTGTAATTGAGGAACCGAAATATTGGTTGGATATTATCTCTGTTTGGAGAAACCTTCATGGACATGAGGGGAAAAAAGGTGATGTCACTCGAGAAAACCCATTGGCTCTGAAGAGAAAGTCAGAAGAAGAGACAAATACTGCAAGTAAAAGGCAGAAAACAGAACAAGAGAGAGAGGTTATGTCTGAGGAATGTCAGGTGGAACCTGGAGAGAAGTGTGTGGTGCCAGAGAGAATCGGTGATCAGGAGAGTCGGACTGAGAGCAACACTTCCTCAGAAGACCCTTCAAAAGACAGTAGAGAGAATCATACTGCAAATGAACAGCTTAGCTTCAGAGTGTCTTGTCGTTGTAGTGGAGCAATTGCCAAAATACTGACTTCACAGGTATGCTGAAGTGTCTGTGTTTTAAAAGAATTTAGCAAAGGTGAACAGTGTCATGTTCTAGAATAACAAACCGATGTAAGCCTTTTTTGTGTTTTCTCAAAAAGCCCTTAACCTGCATTTTCCTCAAACAAGTGGAAATACAAAGGCTGTTGTTAATTTCTGGGCACTACTGTCCTGAATGTTTTTCAAATCAAAGCCTTTTATTGAGAATAAGCAAAGGTACAAGGTTGAGGTAGCTGGGCCTCTGGAGGTTGAGAAGTGGTCAGATAAGTTTACAGCTGCTTAAAGGGCCATTGTAAGAACTGTGGAGCCAGACTCTTCTCAGTTTTGGCAGGCAGTGTAGAAGAAGGGTCAAAAGCCAGAACTTGCAGCTTTTTCTTACTTGAAGCTAACAGTAGTTAGATTTTTTTTCCTGCTAAAACTAGTACCTTTAGTACTAGCTAGTACCAGTAGAGGTGGGACACATGAGCCTCCCAACAAATTTGTGTGTTTGAACTCTTATTCTCTGAAGGTAATCAGAGCTTTCTAGATGTAATGAAAGCATTAAAATTGTGAGTTGCAGCTGGGCATTCACAGGTTTTCTGTTGAGTAATCTGGTTTAGAGCCTTGGGAAATATTTTGTGCATGCGTTTTAGAATTCGGAGGTGGTGGCAACTTCTGTTGTGACTTGGGCAGGACTTGATCTCCAGCCTCCCTCACTCCAGTTGGGTGATGGTCGTTTGTCCTGTGGTATGTTTACTTTGCCCCTCGCTCACATGCTCTGCCCTCTTGTGCCTCCTCTGGTCTTTGTGTGAATTGTTCTCCTAGAGATAAAGAGAGACTCGTTCTTTTCCATGGGATTTCTGAGAGTTGTTCAGTGAAGGCTGGAAATTCTGTTATTTTTATTGCCTGTGACTGTCCTTCCTCCTTTCAGGAAATCGGAAGAGCCGTTGGCATAGCACTCATGAAGCAGTGTGGGTGGCGTGCTGATCTGCGGGACCCTGACCTAGAGGTAGTGGGCTCATCTGCCAGAGGACCTGTTGGTGCTTCTGGAACTGCCCGTGACATCTTTTGTTTTGTTCTCTGCTCCCTTCTCATGGAGGACTGTGGCCTCTTCCCTGTCATCTTTCCACTGAATTTGAACTGGAAATCACCTGGTAGTGCTGAGCAAGGAGTGTCTGTAGCCCCTGTGTGTGTGCTTTCCAGAGCACTAAAATAAACTCAACCCATCCACGTGGGCCTGCACATGAGGGGAAGGATCCGTTCAGGAGGTGTCTCAGGATCTAGTACTCTTACAGACTGCTGGATTCTGACTCCATGCACATGGAGATCCCCTGAGCTGTGGGGCACCTGGTTTAGCCTCTCCAGGGGAAGAGAACAAGCAGCAAGGGCATGTTCTTGAGGAGCTAGACATGAGAATGCCATTTGTGGAAGAACCTCCCCCTGGGCCCTGTCCTTGACAAGCAGCTTGCTTAGCACACCGTCGACGGTGCAGGCTCCTGAAGACCTTGGAGAGGATTTCTTGACAAGCTGTTTCTCCATCCCTGTGTCTGGCCTGTGGAAGCTGCTCTCAGCACTAATGCTGGGAGATCTGAGACCTGTAAAACCTCTTTGAGTTCATCTACCGGGGCTGATTTTCCCAGGCTGACCATTAGGTACAGCTTTGTTGAGGCTTAGATAGGGCTCCTGTTCTTGCCCAGATTTTGCTCTGAATCTTGCCCAGATTTTGTTCATTCAAGTGCTGAGGACTAGAATCATATTTTCCTCCGGACTTCCTGGGGGCAGGGATTGTAGTCATGCAAGACTTGTTGGGGAGCTCAGTCTTCTTTTGGGATGCTCCCTGTGTGGCAGCAGAAGAATTTCTTTGACCTGTCTGTGTTTCTGGAAGGATTACTCAGATTTACCTTCCATCTGCAATGGCTCCACTGTGGGTGTTGGGGTTTTTCTCTGTGTTTGTTTTTTAATATATATTTATTTAAATGAGGGGGTATGTGAATTGTTGAGTATACAGTGAATAATACTCTCCCACTTAAGATAAATGGATTTATTATTATAAATTTCCATGCTGTGTTACGAAAAAATGTGTTGCCTTATAAATTCAAGTGCTTGCTGATGGATTCCTGGCTGACAAAATCCCCTTTCAACTTGCTTAAGCATTAAATCCTCTTTAAAGTGGCATTCAGATTATCTAGTGGAATTTCTTCCAATTAATCATAATTACCTAATGCATGCATTTTTGTTCTTAAAAACTAGGATTGGAAGTTTGTAGAAACATCTGTGTCTGGTTTAAATGAGTTAAAGCTGTTGTCATGTCAGGTTGAGAGTTTAAAATGTTTTTGGTTTGCTTTTTTTTTTTTTCTCTTATAGATCTTTGTACATCTTAATGACATTCACTCTGTGGTGGGGATTCCTCTTTTCAGGTAGGCATTCTTCTCACCAGATTTGTCTTGGCAGTATCAGAACAGGCAGGATTTGTAAATAGTCTTGCTGTCCGCTGTGTCCATCTTCTGGTTTGATACTCACTGGATTGCCACATAAGTCTTTTGATCTGCCTGGAGCCTATGTGAGGACACAGGCCAGACTCTGCAGTGAGTTATGGTTTAAAGCAGAGTCTGGTTTCAGTCTCTCTGCAGATCTTTCCAGTCCATTTGTTCTTTGATATTACATGGGCTTTTCTGGGTGGTTCTACCATTCCTTTACATAGAATTTTTTTTTTTCTTTTCCTGTTTGCAGGTTTCCATTGGCAAACAGAGAGTATATCAAAACAGCAGGACTGCGGTCAACAGTCGCATGGGCCATGGCATCTCTGGCTGAAATCCATGTCAGTGAATGTTCCTAGTAAAGATACGGAATCCTGAATGAAGGAAAAGGGGGATGCTGCTCATCAGGGCTGGAGCTGGAGGCTTTGTAGGAGCATGGGGATTTTAATGCCCTATCCTCTAATGCATGAGGACTGGGTTTGCCTTACCTGTGGTCAGCGTGCTGTCACCTGCTGTTTAGCAAGGTGTCTGCTGTAATTCCAGGTCCTTCTCAGCAGAGCTGTTGTTCCTTATACAGATACACGTCTAAGTGGCAAGATCTTTTTCATTGTACGGACTTCAGACCTTGTTTATAGTTGTTTCTCAAGGGAAAACAGGAGCAAATGTGATTTCTTTCCACAGATTAGTTTGGTACCAATGTCTGTCTGTGAACAACTTATAATGTTTTCCCCTGAATGTCACCTCAGGGCTGGATGCCTTGAAACACTGTCTGAAGTGAAGCTAGTGATACTCTTGACTATATTCTCTTACAAGTGACTTTGGCCCGGTAAACCAGCGATTATTGTTACCTGTGCTGGATTCAGTGGGAATATATACATCCCCTTCCTGGGCAGATGGAGCTCGTTAGCCCTGTAAAGGCAATCCATCTGCGTCCTGAGGACCTCGCTGCCACCGTCCAAGCTCGCTTGGCCCCGGCAGATGAACCATAGGATTAAAGGGTGGGCTCAGTTCTGCGCACACTGTGTCTCACCTAAAAAAATCCAATGCGCAGGCTGGAAGGTGTAAAGACCTTCCCCGGATCTTCACTTGCGAAGACTGACCATTATATATTATATACATCCCTGAGTAATCTTTGTCCTGAGGGAGGAGTCTTGTCTTGCTTGGGATGCAATAACCCCTTTGTTTTTGTAGACTGGTGCCTTTGTGCTGGATCCCATGTGTGGGCTAGGAACGATACTGCTGGAGGCTGCCAAAGAGTGGCCTGTAAGTATCCCAGCTGCAGCTGACTGGGCCTTTGCAGGACAGCTGGTAGTTACGGTACAGAGTTTTCTCTGTATCGGTTATGCCAAAGTCCATTGCTGGAAAGGTGAAACCAAACTGATCTTTCTAGGCAACTCCTAAAAGGGTGTTAGTACAAACATTCCTGTACAGGAATGTGAAACCACGTCCTACAGACTGGTGAGCCCTGGGTTCACACTGCAGGGTTTGTGTGAGGCAGCCATGGTTTTCTAATGCTGCCTGGGCTTCTCGCAGGACTGGAGGAGTCAATGTGTCTGTACAGTTAATTGTCAGCGTTAGAGGCAGCGTAGCTGGCTGTAGCCACCTGGGCTCTTGCTGTTAGGACATACCCTTGATATTTCTGTAAGTTACAAGTGTCTTGAGCAGACCAGAACATCAAAGGAGTGAAGACAGCACATACTTATCCTATTCCTCCTAGGTTGGGAGTTGCTCTGTGTAATGGTACGCGACGGGGTTGTCTTGCAAGAGCTGTGCAACAAGGCAATTCTGAGAACGGTTTATAAAATAAATAACCTGAGTGTTAACAAAATTACTTTTCTCTCTCTCTGAACAGGAAGCCTGTTACTGGGGTGCTGATATAAGTGATTCACAGTTAGAGGGTGCAGATGTGAATATTAGAACTGCAGGCTTAATGAATAAGATTGAGTTGCTTAAAGCTTCAGCGAAAGGTATGTCTGTAGGGTTTCAAAGAGAAATTTTTTGTGGTTCTGGGATTATACAGGTAATTAGGTCCTCTTGAGGTGATATGTTGTAGAGCAAACTCCCAGCAAATAGCTGAGCAGTGACTCTGTAGTGCTAGTGAAAGGATAATTATTTGTTCTCCCTACCTTGCTGCCTGCTCCCAGGAACTTTGGTAAGAATGAATGATGATGCCTTTCTCCTGTAAGAGGGAGTCTACTCTTAATCCACAACCTGGTCTGTAGAGAAGGGAAAAATTGTTTGACCATATTATGGACATCAAATCTGAGGCTAAATTATCCTTGTATGAAATTCATGACAGGCAATCCCTGTGCATGGGTGATCAAGTATGCATTTTTTTTTCCTTGCAGTATTTCTTACCCGAAGGTAAGAAAATAAGAAATATTATTTATTTTTGTATGAATACAGGTTTATTTCTTAAAAGCTGTGTTTGAGTTTGGCTTCTAGGATAATGGAAAGTACTTAGGTGTCAGGTTTTCCGACACTGAACAAGTAATTGGTGTCTTCATTACTCTTTAAAAACTGTTATTTCTGCTCATCTTGAAGAGGGCTGTGGGTGACTTGTCCTTCTGTTTTTGCAGATAAAATTGTTATAAAAATTGTTGCGCTGCAAGTGTTGATAGAAGGATGGTCCAGGAAACATCTCCAGCTAGTTCTGGAAAAGTTGACGTAGAATCACAGCACGGTTTAGGCGAGAAGGGACTGTTGGAGGTCTTTGGTCCTGTTGTCTTCTGAGAGTGGGGCTAACTCTGAAGCTGTGTCAGATTGCTCAGGGCCTTGTCCCATCAATTTTGAGCACCCTGATGGATGGAGGACCTGTAGTTTTCTACTTTCACATGCTGGCTATGGGATGGAGCACCCATAGTTTTCTACTTTCACATGCTGGCTACGCTCTGGCCAGCACAGCCTGGTATGTGGCTGATCATTATCACCACAGGTTGTGGTGCTTCATTGTGGTCAGGAGAACTGACTGTTCCTGGGATGCAAAAACTCTGGGAAGACTCTAATGACACTAGCTCTGGCAGAATGCCAAGTGATGCTGGCTGTAACCAGATTCTTGGGAGGGACAAAAGGGGATTAAAGAGGAATTTATTGTGGTTCCTTGCCATTCATGTGTGTGCATTTGAATATCTCTGCTAAGTGAAGTGCTCACAAGCTTCTTTTGTATTTTGCTGAATCATTTTCACATTTACGATGTACTGTGTGTTGAGAAGCAGTGGTTAGTTTGGAACAATGCAGTACCCTATTCAAAGAGTCTTACTGTTGGGACAAACATATGGCCAGTAACAGGGAATGTGCAAACTAAACCATGCTGTCATGCTTTTGTCTCTTCCCAGTCTGCAGACTGGTAGTGCTGTTTGCGAGGGCAAGTGCAGAAGGAGCTGTGAATCTGGGTGCATAACCCACAAAAGAGCCAGCAAACAAAGTGTTCTAAGGGGAATGGGGTCATAGCTGCTTTGCATTTTTCAGACAGACAGAGGTAAAGACCTGCCTTTATTCTGCAGCACTGCCATTGCCTTCAGAAAGCTTTGACGCTGTGATTTCTGATATTCCATTTGGGAAGAAGTTCAAGATCAGGAATGATGCCCAGTTTCTACCAGATATTCTTCAGGAAATGGAGAGGTATGTGTGGCTTTGATATGCTTAGGGTTTGGTGTAAATGCAACAATGGTGGCATTTCTCCTGTTTCAGCCTGTTTTCTCTCATTAAGAAGAGGCGTGAAGATAGGGAATTTAAATTCCATTTGGAGGTGTAGCTTCCTGGGTTGAATCATGACACTCAGGTGTTTTATTGAATGCAAATGGCATCTGAAGTGTCAGCAGTGTGGAGTTCTGCACAGGCAAAGGAATGCCAGGTAGGATGAACACCTAACTTCTATCTTTCTTGCAATTGCCAGAGTGATCCGTGTTGGAGGGACTATTGTATTGCTGCTGAGCCAAGATCTCCGCAAGTGCATGGATAACCTGACCACGTGTGCTGGAAGTGACTCTCCTGAGGCCATTGCTGATGGCACCAGTGAAACAGCCACTGCGAAAGCCCCGAGTGTTGATGGGAATCCTTCCGCTGTGGCCGATGGTGTTGGAGAGTCCTTTTGCAGCAGCAGACAGATGCGTTTTGGGTCTCTGGTACCAGATGGTGTCTATGGAGTTAGTCTTGGGAAGACAGAGGCTTTCATATACAAATACAGGAAGATCTCTACTGCCAGAAACCGGTAGCTCACATTCTTTGGATGTCCTCAGGCACTGCTTGTCTCTGGTTTTTAGGAGAGATGGAAGGTGCCTACTAGAGTTTCAGCTGGTTTTCCAGTATTGTGCACAGTGAAACAGTATATGGTATATTTTAATGAGGCAAAGTCCTCAAATCCTTGTTAAGGCAAAGCTGCTCATGTTGGGAGGAGTTTCTATGGGAGAGAAAGTTTTTACTGAACTGCAAACTCAAATGTGGTAGCATTAAATGTAAATGGACTTTCACCTTCAACAGTGTTTATCAGGAAACACATTTTGTCTGAAGAAGTCTCCATCTCTTTTTGAGGGGTAGATATATGCTTTACCTGGCAGTCTTCTGTTTTAAAGCATGTTTCTGGTAAGTTTGAAAGATCTCTTGGAGTGGAAAATAAACTATTTTGTATGTTATGTCTTTGTATGTATGTCTTTGCAGCATTTTCATGTGTGATACTGGGCATCGCATGTCTGTTTTGGGGCTTCTCACTCTCTCCTTCAAAGCAGCACACCCCTGGCATTTTTGTCATCTTGGCTCACAGAGCACGAGGTTCACTCATAAGAAATAAGCTCTGCCAGGCCTGAATCATTCTACTGGGTCACAGTGTTTCACTTGATCTCATCGTCATGAGGCTCTTCCAGATCCTCCACTATCAAATCCACCCAATTCCCTTTTTTACCTGACTTCCCCTCCTCCTGGGCTCTTTGAGAAGTGGGTGTCAGTGCCAAAGGCATTTCAGCGACCTCCCTGAAACACTGCTTCTCGTGTCCTTGCAGCAGGACTGCCGAGGAACACGAGATGACTCTGACAGGATCCAGGTGGCTGCAGTGGGAACGGTCAGCTCCTGCACCAGAACCTGTGGCAAGGACACTGGCGACCTGTGTGGAGAAGCTTTTTAAGGAATGGTCCGTCACCTAGGCAAGTGTGCACACACATGGGAGTTGTCTGGTTTTTAAACAGCAGCGATGGAATCAGCTCCTTACCCTCGGGAGCAGCCGCTGCTCCTGCTGCTCCGCTTCCCCAGGGTAGGCACTGCCACCTCTGCTATCCCCAGCTGAGGAACAACCCAGTTCCAGGCAGGCTGGAATAGCCCAACTGTGCCATCTTTAAGGGAGAGGAGCAGTGGAGGAGCAAAGTGCTGTGGCTGCTCGTTTGACGACCCTGCCACGTTTTGTTTGGCTGAACAGTCTTAGGAGCAAAATAGATGGAATTTATTGCGATGTTGGGTGGGCTAAGGATGGGGACGTGAGTGATGGTCACAGACTCATCTGGCCACTGCAGCAGCAGCCAGGGTGAGACAGAGGCAGAAACAGATGCCTTGGTCTATTGCCCTAATCTTTTCACACCAGGCTCCCAAAGGGCCTTTCTGGAAGGAAACAGGCAGTTGGAATTGCCACTGTCTCACTGCAGAACTCTGCTTAAAATTCTTTGCTGTCTTCCCTTTCCTGAGTAGAATTACAGACTTGGGGAAGGGTTTGGGTGGGAAGGGACCTTAAAGATCACCTTGTTCCACCCCCTGCCTCTGGTGGAGACACCTTCCACTAGCCCAGGTTGCTCCAAGCCCCATCCAACCTGGCCTTGGACACTTTCAGGGCTGGGGCAGCCACAATTTCTCAGAGTTTCTTGGCACAAGAAGAAATTGCTGCCGTGGAACTGTGACATTTCATTTGCTCTGTCCAGCCCCAGCAGGAGTTCGGGAGGCAGATGGAGTGGGAACAGGCATTTTACCAACTGCCTTGGGGGAGTCTGTGATGTTCCAGAAACCAGCAAAGCAAACATTTGTGGTTTAAGGTCTCGCTCCAAGGAGATGCCGAACCACGGATGGGAATGGGCCGTGGGGCAGGGATGGTGCCCAAGAAGGAGGGCTGCCTGTGTGGAAGGTCCTACCTGTCAGTGGCTGATGTCCAGGTTCAGGGTGACTGGGTCGGTGACTGGGCCTGTGTTTGCTCCACAGGATGATGATGCCAACCTTGCTAAGGAGGCAGGGGAGTGTCGTGGGTTTACTTTGGGCCAATTTTCTCTCACCTCCCACACAACTGCTATAAGCTGAGAGAAGGTTTATGCAGACAAAAGAGATCTGATGTGGAGAGAATAATATTAGGATTTATTACCAGCAAGATAAAAACAAAAGAACTATATACAATAATTCTAACTAGGTAAAAGTGCTATGTATTTACAGAAGTACCCCTCTGCCCTTGTATCAGTTTAGGAGGAGAAGCAGTGTTTTTTCCATTTCCAGAGCTACAGGTCTTCTAAATAATTTTGCAGCACTTGAAAGTTCCTCTTCTATTATCTCTAGGACGACAGCTCCGATTCATCACAGCTGGAACTGTCCCTCTCTCTCTCTCTCTCCAATGTCGACCTCAGGGCTGGGCCTACCCCCTCCTGGGCTAAGACTGGAGGCTGGGGGTTACCCAGGCCCTTTGGGGTCCTCCATGGACTGCAAGGGGACACTTGCCTTACCATGGTCTTTTTTTTCCACTCTGTTACAGGAGAGAAGGGGGCCTGGCCCCCCTCATCCAGGCCAGACTTGGCTCGGGGTGGGGGGCTCACACCCAGGCCCAGCAGGGCCAGTTGCTGCACTGGCTCTCCCACTTTTTTTTCTACCTCATGGCTTCTATCTCTTCTGCCCCCACAGCTTCTCTTCCATTTTCTTAAATATGTAATTGGCAGAGGCGTTACTAAAACTTTTGATTGGCTTTGCTCTGAAATCCACTTGGAAAAACTATTTTCAGCCCCAAGAGGGCTGGTTGGCAAACCCACGACAGGGAGGAGGGATGGGGTGATGAAGACAGAATTCCACGTGGGAGACGTTGCCTTCCAAGGCAAAGTACTTGTCTGTCCCATTCTAATTGGGTGCGTGAGGCCAGTCAAACAAAGGGTTTGAGTCCGTTTGCTTCCTTCTTGCCTTGGAAGATACTTGTGAAAAGGTCGTTTTAGGGAGTTTGCACTTGGACTGAAAGAATGTGACCCCTGTGGGCTGAAATAGCTGCACAGTTCCCAGGTGCTCATCCCTCAATGGCTCACAGGAACTGTATGAGGGCTGGGCCTCCTTGTTCCCTCTTTCTGCAGGTTCTAGAAATTGAGTCCTTCCTTTCCCAAGGGAGGGGAAAGCCAGCAGATGTCTGGCCCTGTGTCAAGGAAACAAACCAACAACCTGAGCAGGTTGATTTTAAGAAAGCCAATGAGAACTCTTGAGGAAAGCCATTTACCTCCCAGCTGGAGGGATCTGGTGCTGAGCAGGGGGAGGTTGAGCAGCAGTCACTGGAAAATGCCTGAGTGAATCACTGAAAAACAGGAACTGAAGCTTTCTGAGGTGGCACAGACCTTCTGCCTGCATGTCTCCCAATCCAGCCCCCAAATCCATGTTCCTATATGCAGCTGGGTTTAGAGCACAGCTGATTTTACTCCACAGCTCCCAAGCTGTGCAGCTCAGAGTCTGCAGTCCAGAAGGGCCACACTGTGTTTAAAACACGCTGAGGTGCAAGAGAGCGGGAGTAATTTCTTAGCAGGGATCTTGACTTGGAAGCAGCACTGCAAACTTTTTCCGCATTTATTTTATTTCCCAGGTGGAGATGCCTAAAGAAGCAGGGGCGGAGTGTTCCTGACAAAAGAACAGCAAAATTCATGGGTGGCAGAAGGCTTAAAATGAAAGTCTGAATGGAGGTGCCTTTAGGACATTTCCAATTCCTCAGTGTCCTGGAATTTAAATTAAGACCCGAGTATCCAAATTCTGACATGCTTGTGTGAACTTCAAAACCTCTGAAGGTGCTTTACAGCCAGGGAGGGAGCCAAGAGTCTGGAACATCTCCCCAAAAGTTGGCTGTTGGTGTCTTTAACCAGGTGTAGCAATAGCTGCATTGTCCCAGGGGTTGTCCTGGAGAGAGGTTATTTGCTGGGTTTATTCCATGCATTTTCACAGCGATGGAAACTGTCTTTGCTGAAAAGCCCAAGGTACCAAATGCTTTCCCCAGCCAGAGCTCAGAGGCGGCCTTGTGAGAAGTGGTTGAATGCCCCTTTTCCTGGTCCCTGAGGCAGCAGCACTGGAGCACTTGCAGCCAAACATGCCCAAGGTGCCGAGTGCCAGCAGGCAGGGGGCAAATGCAGAGCATGGACAGGAGCAGTTTGCACTGGGATCGTGCAATTGCAGACCTGGAGCTGTGCTTTTGAGATGCCGGGAGATGCTGCCTCGCCCAAACCCTATTTAAAGCTCCGCATGCCTCCTGCTCCCTTGGACTTATTGTTGCTGCCTTTGCTGCTCTTCCCCGACATTATTATTATTGTTATCTTTATTCTTGCTGTTGTTGTTGTAAATCACCACTCCATTTCTTTTGTAACCCTTTGCTTCCCAGAGGTAGTGCTTTAGGAAAGACCCTCTGTCCTGGGGAAGGTGCTTTAGGTTGCCAGCACATTCCCAGTCCTTGGGACCAGCAGGAGCTGTGCTGTTCCCAGCAGGTCAGGCAGAGATGCCCTGCCATCCTGACATGCTGCAGTTTGGCTTTTGGAGGGGTCTCTGGTGGTCTGAGGGAGAAGTTCTTTGTCATCCAATGGCAGAATTATCCCCCGTACAAAAGGTGGCACCTCCACGCTGCAAGTCCTGCATTTCCGTGCAAGAAGATGGCATCCCTCTGACCAGAAGTCCTCCAATGCCGCACAAAAAGATGGCGGCCCCGGGCTGGAAGTCTTCCAAGTCCACCCTAAAGATGGCGCTACCATGACTGGACATCATCTGAGACCATACTAAAAATGGCACCCCTGGACCAGAAGCTGCAGAAAACTACATCAAAGCCCCCGTATTCTCCTTTCCCTCACCCGGCCTCCCCCTCCCCTTGCCTTGCCCCACTACACACCCCAACCCCCCATAACTCGCTCGTTCCTGTCCCCCCGGCCCACCCTCCTTCCTCCCTTCCTGCCTGCTCTGTCCTTTCCCCACTGCCCAACCCAAATCCCCCTCCATTCCCTCTCTATTCCCTCTCAATTCCCCCTCTATTTCCTGTCTGTTTCCTCTCTATTCCTCCTCTACCATTAGTAAATTTGCAGATGACACCAAGCTGAGGGGGCGTGTCGATCAGCTGGAAGGCTGGAGGGCTCTGCAGAGGGACCTGGACAGATTGGAGAGTTGGGCTGATTCCAAGGGGATGAGGTTCAACCAGACCAAGTACCAGGTCCTGCACTTTGGCCACAGCAACCCCTGGCAGTGCTGCAGGCTGGGCACAGAGTGGCTGGAAAGCAGCTAGGCAGGAAGGGAGCTGGGAGTTTGCAGTGACATGAAGCTGAACATGAGCCAGAGTGTGCCCAGGTGGCCAAGAGGGCCAAGGGCTCCTGGCCTGGTTCAGGAAGAGTGTGGCAGCAGGAGCAGGGAATTGATTCTTGGCCTGCACTCAGCGCTGGGGAGGCCACCCCTGGAGTGCTGTGTCCAACTCTGGGCCTCTCATGTCAGAAGGACATGGAAGGGCTGGAGCAGGTGCAAAGAAGAGCAGCCAGGCTGGGGAAGGGACTCAGACATGGGCCCTGTGAGGAAAGGCTGAGGGAGCTGGGATTGTTGAGCCTGAAGAGGAGGCTCGGGAGAGACCTCATCCCTCTCTACAACTCCCTGAGAGGAGGTTGTATCAAGGTGGGGGTCGGTCTCTTCTCCCAGGCAGCTTTCAGTAAGACAAGGGGACATGGTCTTAAGCTCTGCCAGGGGAGGTTTAGGTTGGACATTAGAAAGAAGTTCTTTACAGAGAGGGTAATCAGGCATTGCAATGGACTGCCCAGGGGAGTTGTGGATTCACTGTCCCTGGAGGTTTTTAAGGTGAGACTGGATGTGGCACTGAGTGCCATAGTGTAGTAACTGTGGTGGTAGTAGATCAGGGGTTGGACATGATGACCTCAGAGTTCCTTTCCAACCCGGCTGATGCTATGATTCCATTCCCCCTCAATTTCCCCTTTATTCTCTCTCAATTCCCCATCTTCTCCCTATTTCCCCTCTAATCCCCCTCAAATCTCTTCCATTCCCTCTCAATTCCCCCTCTATTTCCTGTCTGTTCCCTCTCTATTCCCCCTGAATTTCCCTTTTATTTCCTCTCAATTCCTATCCCCGCTCAATTCCCCCTACATTCCCTCTCAATTCCCCGTTTCCCATCTGTTCCCTCTCAATTCCCCCTGTATTCCCCCTTCATTCCCTCTCTATTCCCCCTCTCTCCTTTGTCTGCCCTCCCTCTCGCCCCGGCCTCCCCTTCTTCCCCCGCTCCCCTGCGCGCCCTGATCCCCCTCCATTCTTCCTTCCCTGCCCTCCTCTGTGCACCCTCCCTGCCCTGCCTCGTCCCCCTGTCCCCCGTGCCCGTGTCCCCGCAGCCGCGGGCTTGGGGGCGCCGCTTTAATAAAGCCGCGATGGCCGGACCCGGCGCCCCGCCTGGA